GGGGCCGCGGAGGGGGGCGATGGGTCCGGCGGGGCGGGCTGCGGCGGTGTCTGGGGGGACAGGCCGGTGCAGGTAACCTTGCTTGCGCTTCCAGGATAAAGCGGTGTCGGAACTACTACGAAATTCTGGGGGTGGAGAGGGACGCTAGCGAGGAGGACCTGAAGAAAGCCTACCGCAAACTGGCCCTGAAATTTCACCCGGACAAGAACCGCGCTCCCGGAGCAACGGAAGCTTTTAAAGGTGAGGTGGGGGCTGGCCCGGTCGCGAAAGTCGTACGGCAAGATGAAAACGAGGACAGACTGCCTCAGACTTACAGTCCTGCGCCTTATATAAAGGCATCATACGGGCCCATGTAGCCTGTCGTTTTTATAGACAGATAGGTGCATCTCCACAAAATCCCGCAGCTGGTCGGCAAGGCTTGCCTTTTAATCTTCAGAATACAGATTTCCGTTAGAAGCAAAGTGAAACGTATCCCAAATCTCATTCCTAGATACTGCTAAAGGTTCAGAGCAATGCTAGGAAATAGTACTGGCCACGCAGGGGAGCGTGGTGTTGTGTAATCAATAACTGCTCTGTGTTGTAAATAAATTTATATATGTATATATATGTGCAAGCATTTGAAATTTGATTCCAATATTCTGTATCTGGGCTTTTCAATACAATCTAAACAACGTTAGCCTCTAAACTCTTACATCTTCTGCCTTTTCTGAGCTGTGTTGCTGCTGTCTTTAACAGCACTGTAAGGCAGCGTGAGGAAAGTGACATACTCATTCGTAGTCTATTAGAATAAGGAGTTTTTGAAGGGCTTTATTTTTTTGTGTTAGGGTTGTATTTCTCTATGAACTTGTTTACAGCTGTGTTCTGTCAAAGATCAAGGAAGAACCAGACAAATACTTCTGGGTGGTTTGGCGTGAAGTGTGAAATAGATATGCTGTACAGCTTCACAAGCATCTCTGCCAACAGAAAAACTTGGAATATGGTTCTGCATTTTAATTAGTCTCTACAGGTATTAACTTTGTATTAACTGTGTATGGTATATGGAGGTGCACTTCTATATTAACGCTTAGTTTGATCTGATAAAATGTTACATTCTCACTCAATCTCTTGACTGAAGTAGACTCTCTCACCTCAGTTTTACAAATATTTTAACTCTCTCCATGTACTTTAACACTTTTATCTTTCTCCTGGTATCAGTGATAGCAGGAAATAGGTTCCATCACAGGTGATGCCAGTGTTGTAACACTTTTTTTACAAAGGCAGTTCTTTTAAAAGTAACTCTATCTTTGGTCAAGCACAAATTTTCTATGCCTGGTTGGGCTTTTTTGCTACTCTGCCTATAAAAGTCTGAGATCTGGAAATACTGCGTGATATGCCTGTGTAACACTTCTTTTAATTCACTCTCCAGCAATAGGCAATGCTTTTGCAGTTCTGAGCAACCCTGAAAAACGATTACGATACGATGAACTTGGAAGTGACCAAGAGCATGTCAGCACTGGTCAGGCCAGGCATTATAATTACTACACAGAATTTGAAGCAGACATTACACCAGAAGAAATATTCAATGTGTTTTTTGGTGGGCACTTTCCTACAGGTCAGTATCTGTCTGCAGTGTTTTTGAAATGTGGTGAACTGATACTAGACCATAAAGGAAGTTCAGCTTCTCTTGATACTGCTCAGGGAGTTGATAATACATCTGAAAAGAGCAAAAACTTTTTTGGATTTGCTCTTTTCTCCTTTCCTAGCTTTTTATGCCTGGAAAAGCTCCCTTAATGCATGTTTTAGACTTCAGATTTTAGCAACTCCATTCCCCAAAAAATGTTGTCAAAGCCCAGCCTTGCTGTGCAGGAATGCTCCTAGAAAAGAGAGCTGCCAGTGGGGTAATGGCTGTTGCTGCCAGGGCAAGTTCCTAACCTCGCCTCTCTTGAAAATTTCTGACAGTACTAGGTAGGATAAAGAACGTTTTAGTCCGGGAAGGGGTTAGGCTGTTTGATTCTTGGGTAGGCAACATTTTAATGTCAGCTGTAGCTGAAGACCCTTCTTTTTGTTGTTGCTTTTATTCCCTCCATTGTCTGAAGCCATCAGTGCTATGGGAGGTAAAATAAGGTGTGAATGGGAAGGGATCAGAGGTATCTTTGCTGACGGTGTAGTACTTGAGACACCTTACTGCGTTCCAGTACAGTACGGCAGCAGCTGCTGGCATTGTGGTCTCAGTGCCCCTATAACAAGGAAAACATAGGAGTTCATTTGGCTTGCAGCAGCTTGCATACTGTAAAGAAACTGAAACCTCTTAGCTTAGAAAGTGATGCCTGCCAGGAAAGGCTCGTTGTTACTGGATATAGAGTATCCAGTAACAGAACAGTAGATCTGTACCTGTAGCAGTTCCACGCACATCTCAGTCCAGCCTTGGCTTTTGTATTTGTAGTAAAAATAGAAAGATACTGCAAGGTCAGTGGAATACAGATTTGGATTAAAAGTAAATCTGAAAGGTTTAGTGAGCTAAAGGGTCTTCCTGGTAGTATCTAGCGAATTGCTTTAGCTCTTTTGTAAACTTTTTCACCTCCAAGGGGTGGTATAGAGCAACGTACATGCCAATTACTACACCCTAAAGCCACAGATACAGGTAATTACTTAAAAGCTCCCCATAACCTTAGTCTGTGTGGTAGCATCTTGCAGCTCAGGGGACTTCAAAATTTGATCACTAGAGGTGCAAAGTGAGCCAAACTCAGTGTGGCATAATTCCACACTGAGTTGGCAAGTTTTCCATTTCTGACTTTGCAAGAAGTTGCACCTGTGTGTGCCTTTTGCCTCAGCCACCAGTGAAACATTGCCCTCGTGGAATGTGACTGCTTTCTAGCTGCAGGCAACAGGGATGCTTGGAGCTGAGGACAAGAGATTGAGGAGCTGTAGGAGGAATTTGAGTACTGGGCATGGCAGGTTTAACAGGTCAAGTGGCATGAAGAAGTAAATGGGAACTTCTATCAAAGTGGCAAAGAATAAGAAAATTAAAAGATAATTTCATAGTAATAGGTGTTGGTAGTAAATGATAGGTTCCTTACAAAAAAAAAAGTTTGGGTCTAAATTTATGTACATTTTCCTAATCTAAAAGTGAGTTTTAAATTATGGAAAATCGTCAGTTCAGTAGTTTTCCAAATAGGCAAAGTCCACACAGTTTCTACTTAGCAAGAGAGTTACTAGTAAGAGGGTGTGCAGATAGTTGATATAAAGAAAACATTTTTTAAACTGTTGTAGTGGGACTTGCATGAGCTGAAGTTTGTTTTGTGACACCTTGCTTGTCACCAGGCTTTCTGGAAATCTGAATAAGAAATGTTGGTGTTAGGGTAAACTCATTGGTATAGCTTTTGTGGGGAGGTTTATGGCTTTGTTTATACCGTGCATTTTTCCTCTATGGATATTCAGTGAAAAAATCTTGAAAGTTAAAATGTTAAGTGTTGTAAGTCTAAAAGGAGACTGTCCACGTGGCATATTGTTGCAGTTACAATGGGTAGAGGCTATAAATTGAACTTCCTTCTCATAAAAAATAAATGCACATGGAAGGAAAGAAACTGCTGGCAGAAATTCTTTGAGAAACTTAGGATTTGGGAAAACTTTTTTCTAGGCACCCTGCAAAAGACATTCTTCTCTTCCTGCACTTGCTTCTGTTTTTTCACAGGTTGATTAAATATTGTCTGAGCAGTGTTGAATGATAGAAACAAACTTTCTTTTTCAAGAAAGAAACTTTTGTTCTTCAAGCCAGTCTCGTTTGGTGCTCTGTTGGAGCTCTGACTGCAAATGTGCCTAGACCCTTGGAAAAATCTTTGAACAAGCAGTGAAACAGATGTTTTGACACAATAGCAAAGGTCACTTCTGCCCAGTTTTCTTGCAGAATTCTGTGGGAAATTCAGAGAAAGGGCAGTGTAAGAGTGTAAAATAATGTGACATCTTTCCCAGGGCTTAAAAATACATTTGCATTTCTGTTGTCATGATAAAGCCATAAATTTCAATTATCTAATACAAAGACATTCTGAATTTCAGAAGAGGAAAGTACAGCTATTATTAGATATGCATATGGTGATAAAATCAGAGCTGAAGCTTCAAATCGAAACAGCATATGCAATTCTTTCCTCATTTTAGAATTTTTAAAAATAAATCAACTACATTCAGCGTGCAAGAAAGGAAATCCTGATTTGTACTCTTTTTTTTTTAACTCATTTTTTAAAACTCTTTCCTTATTATAAAATCATTAAGTGAAACTATTAATAGCTTGAAGGAAGAGGAAGTAGAAATGAGTGTAGAAGACCATATTCAGTAATTACGGGAAGCCATAATTCATGGCCTGAGTCTGGTGAAGCAAATCAATTTTCCTGCTTAGAGCCTGGGGATGCAACACAAGGTATGGCCTTGCAAGTGAATGTGACAAAAACAATATTAAAATATGAGATACAACAATAAAAATGATAGCATGTTTCTGCAGGTTGATTTAAATTAAGATGGACTTGGGGCAAACTTTACAATTTCTCTGGCACACTTCTCAGAACGACATATTATTTTGACTTTTAAATCTGAGGTGTGTTTGCGCTTTTTATTCTGAGGTCTCCCAACTGTAATTCAGGCTGTGTAGTATATGCTTGGATAATTAACTAGAAACTCTGAGAAATACAGCCGAGTATCAGCAACTGGATGAAAATTATGACCCTCTCTTGGTTTCTTTTAACAGGAAATATCCATATGTTCTCCAATGTAGCCAGAGATGCGCACTATTATCCACGGAGGCACCGAAATGAAAGAGTGTGGACACAGGAGCAAGAGGAGGAAGAAAACAGGCCACAGGTAGCCAGGAGGAGGGATCTCTTGGGCTTAAATATTTCACCAGGGTGAGGGGTCCACTTACACTTCTGAAGCCAGGACAAACCTTCCCATGCTTACATGCTCAGTGTTTATCCTCAAGTGCTGCAGCCAAAATGGATGTTTTCAAAAGTAACTAGATTGTCTTTTATTAATCACTACTTTAAAAATACATTGTATTAACAGGATTACAGGCCCTGGAGTTTCTGTCACCTAGTGTTTTGCTGGTGCTTGCTTTTTGCAAGCTCAGATGGTTTGGTAAGCCAACAACAATTAGTCCAAATGTGCACTAATAATGCATACAGAAGTACTGGCTTATCCTCATGGTATATTTAACCCTTCAGGAAATAAGCACGCAACTTCTGCTCAGGTGCTGCACAGGCTTCTTCCACCCAGGGCAGAATGGGTCTGGGATACGTTTCTACCAACTGAAACCTCCAGATGAGACACAAGGTGTCATTTGTTGCTGGTGCACATATACATGTGCCACCTGCCTTGGAAAAGTCTTCTTCCATAGGCAGTCTGTTAACCTAACAAGGTTCTCCAAGGAAGATGAATTTTTCCCTGTGAGTCTCTTATGGTTGGGCTCTGAAAAAAAAACGGATACAGCCTATAGACAGCTAAGCTAGGGCAAATGAATCCCACCTGCTACTGCATCAGGTATTCTTGCTGCTATCCCAGAGCAGAGGGTAAAGTCTAAATAGCTGCATATTATATTTTGCTCCTGATAAGAAAAGGTGTTTTAGAAAGGCGGTTTAAAAATCGGATGAAGAGCAGAAGTAAAGATCTGTGTTTTCTCTATGACTATCAGAACTCTTTGGTCTTTTAATATTTTTTCCCCACTCTTTTGTTCTAAATTCATTCAAACAAAAAAAACAAGTGCTTGCATACTGTCCCAAGTCACACTACATGTGGTCTCTTAACCCTTTACTTTTCAGCCATTTTATCCAGTGTTTGAACAGAGATTGAGATTTTTAGAATGCGTGTAGCAAAATTCAGAAGATGCACAGAAAGCCATAGGCACAAATAGGAATTGCAATGTGTTCCTTTGGTTTGGGTTGTCACCTGGTCACTGATAGGTGGGCATCCATTGCCTTGTGAAGGAAGCTGTAGATGAAAGAAATGTCATGAAAATATAATTGAAAGAAAATGGCTTTAAAGAGTTTTCTGACATTATTAATAAAGGTTTTTTTGAAATTAAATGTAATTCCTCTCAAAATTTGAAGGTATTTCCTCTTTTCTTTTCTTCTCAGTTTACATTTGATACATTGTTGATCTATGATAGATAGCCTGGTTTCTGTGAACAGATGCATCCTTTTCCATCTGTATCTTTTTTTGACTACTAATTATTGTTGTTCTTTTCAGAATTCATATTCTGCATTTATTCAGTTGATGCCAGTTTTCATAATAATAATAGTGTCAGTTATAACTCAGCTGATGGCCACAAACCCGCCCTACAGCCTATTCTACAAATCGTAAGTAATTTAAAACCACATTTTTCTGGTCTTCGGTGTTTGCAATAAGGAGGGAGACGGAAGTTGGACTTGGTAGCAAAATGCATGTTAGTGTTCCGTTCTGCTCTTTCTAGAAAGTGTTATCAATTTGTAAATAAGGAAATACCAACAGTCTCTATTGATGAGTACTCCTCAGCATTATCACTATGAAGTTAACTATGGTGTGCTTTATTGTACTGTGTGCTGAACAAATAGAGGCCTTGAGCCAAAAAGCTTTCTCAACTGGTGTGAAATGTTTCTGCACAGTGATACAGTACCAGGAATGTGGGTGTCGCCCAGCTACAGTGCTGATCAGCCTCTGGTCTGCCCAGCCCCCAGGGATCTGTGGACCACCACTGAGGTTCCCATGTAAAGCAATTAAAAAATGAAGCCTGCAGTTTGCGGTATAAATCCAAATCCTCTCTGGAGCCTGAATTCCACTGGAAGAATTGTCAAGCTCCACAAATCATTAAAGCCTTGAAATGCCTTGGTTTAACATCTGTAAAGAAGCAGGACCCTGAGGTTGGAGAGGGTAAACTGAACTGGTCAGCTCTGGAAGCAGAAGGAATGCCACCAGACCTGCTGTAATCTGAGTTTGTGGGGCAGAAGAAAACCCACTGGCTCCTCTCAGCATCCAGTGTTGGGAGGAAGGAAGCTCTCTAGCAGGAAGAGCTCAGTTCAGTCACCTTCACTGGCTCTTACTGAGATAGGAGTGGGAGTCAGCAGGTTTTGGAGAACCTGCTGCACACAGCAGTAGCAGAGTGCTCCAAACACTCCCCTTGCTCACTTTTAGGAGTAAAACTACTTAGGTTTAGGCCCATATCCTCTCCACTGTCATAATAGCCCAAAACCCTTTATCGCTTTTTACCACAAGATGTCAGTGTGTAGACCTAGCATAAGAACAGGACGGTGGTTGGGTTTTGGGTTGTTGGGCGTTTTTTTCAGAGAGTGTTTTTGCTATCTGCCAGTCCCATGTGCAACTTCCCACACTGCCCCCAGAGCAGCTAATATCTCCTGCTTTTCTTCACTACCTCCCCTTCTCCTGTTGATTTGAGATAGTCAGGTACACAGTCATGCTGTTTCTCTAAATCATATCCTTAAAAAAAAAAAACTAACAGCCTAGAAACTGAAAGAAATTGTTTATATGAAGAAAGCATACGCATCAGACATAGCGACAGAGCAGGGGTAGTCCAGAAAGTAGAAGGGGCAAACTGGATTCCATTGAGTAGAGTGTAACCTTTGTGCTTTGGCTGTCTGCTTCTTTCTCTGGGCAGTGATTTGAAAAAAATGCCTGGGTATCTTTGCTCAAATAAGGAAATTCAGTATAAGAGTGTAGTTTAACCCGGTGGCTGTGTCAGAGTGGCTAATTCTACCTACAGGATATTCTTCGGGATATTCCATGCCCCACTTCTCTTACTGATTATTATAAAACCCTAAAAGAAAATGTAACTAGAATCTCCCCTGCTAATTTTTATTTCTACTAAAGGATCCAGAAATTGGGAAAATCTAGATCCAATTGCATTGTGCCCTAAGCAATACCAGGGCCATATGCCTTTCCTATAATCTCTACATTTGTTATCAATTCCCATGGATTTCTGGACCTAGCTTGCCAGAAATTACCAGCAAACAGAAGAAAGTATATGGAGCTTCTGTTCACAGATAAAACTTGCTCTTGCATTTTGGAAGTCTCTTGACTGAGGTCTTGAGAACAAACACAGTATTCGGAAGGAACAGTGTCAGCTCAGAGTCGGTTCTTTGTAGATATCTCCAAATATTAGATATTTTCTGTGGTTTTTAGTGGGGGGGTGAATCGTGTTTGCCTGAGACTTGTAATTTCCTTATTGGATGGTTGAGGGAGCCATAGTCCTGCAGAAAGTAACTAAAGAAGTTGTAACTACTGTCCTCTGGAAATGCTAATATGGAGAAACATCTCTTGATTTCTTTATATTTGAACTGCGAAAAGATTCTGTTTTCTCCATGATGTTTTCACAGGTCCATAGGCCACGTTATTAGTAGAGAAACAGAGAACTTGCAGGTGCCTTACTATGTTGATAAAAACTTTGAAAGGAATTATCAAGGAGCAGACCTTAAAGAGCTAGAGAAAACCGTTGAAAAAGATTACATAGACTATATTCAGACCAGCTGCTGGAAGGAGAAACAGCAAAGTAAGTTATTTTTGTTACAAGTGTGTGCCTACAACCCATCAGAAGTTGTATGATGGCTGTGCTTCACAAAGTGCTGCCATTTTTAGCCTCATTTTCCAATGCTTATCTCAAACCTTGCACTGATATTTGTCACATCTGCTCTTAACACTGAATTTGCTATTCTTGAAGGTCTGTCAAAATTCATTTTAGGTGATTCTAAGAGACAAGTGGAAAGTAGATTTCACCATTTGAGATATTTTTTCCACTCAGTTTTTATGCTTGAATAACTGTTAGTGATGATGTTTCAAACATGTAATCTGCCACATTTATCTAGCTCTGACAGATTGTTAGGGCTAGAAAAGATCTTGAGACATCACCTATTCCAGGTTTCCTTTGCTGGAGCAGAATAATTTTTGCTTCGACTGGCTCCACAAGAAGATTATCTAACTTTTTCTTAAAAACTTCATCAGAAGGAGATCCCATAGCCTGTTCAGGTGCTTTTGGTAATATTGCAGTGGACTCTGTTACTGGTATCAGTTTTCAAAGAGCGTGCTTCTTTGCGTGTTTTGTGCGCTTATTTGCATTTTCTATCTTTAGATGAGTTTGAGATCATGTTTTTCACCATAGTCAAGATTGTCTTTTAAAAGCAAGAATTGAATGCAGAAAGGGAGAACACAAAAATGTGAGCATTCAAAATCATTATTCTCACATCGGTCCTAAGTTGATCAGTGGCACTTATAAAGGCATGTATTTTAACCCCATATCGTATTATCTGTTAATTACTACTAATCTAGTTCATTGAAAACAGAGCAAATCCCTGCTTCTTTTGGAACTGTACGAAATAACAGAAATCAAATTACAAGGACTAGCTGAAGTTAGGATGTTGTGACTGATTTCTTTTCAGCTAAAGAACTCATCACCTTCAAATTGAGTAAACACAAACTACTGCTGTGCATAAAGGAAACTGGAAGAAGTTGTTTCTGTGTAAATGTTTAATAGTAGTAGGCAAGCTGCTTTCACACACCAGTAGGGCTTTCTAAATTGCTCCATGCAAAACAGTCCTCAGCACACTGAAAAAAATTGACTTTGCACTTGTTTACAGTTTCTTTACCAATTGCATCATTATGGAAGCACACACTTTGTCTAAACAAGAGATGTTTAATCCTGTGCTAGAGGTAACAATAGTGTTGCTGACTCCAGACTATTTACGAGTTTTTGATGGGAAGGGTTGTTTTGTTTACATCCAGAGACTGTTTTGTTTTATTTTACAAAAAAGTTACCAGTCTTGCTTTTAAAGAGAAATATACAGATGTGGGCTCTGAAGTTAGAAAAGAACCCATAATATAAGACCATAAAAATCCCAAACAATCCTTTAGTTTTTGGTGTGCTTGACTTGTGATCTCTGAGCATCTGTGGCTGGCAGTGGCAGCCTCTAGGTATAATGTGGCAGTTAACCGTAAATGTAGGCTTCATGCGTAGGCTTGCTATAGGGGAAGAATTTATTTTGTAGAGAAAAATCCTTGTAATTGACCTTGTGCAACTGAAAGTGACCATACTGCCTCTTTCACGTAGACCTTGAGCTAAGGAATGCCATGCCCCAAAATGGGCAACAGGGTTTGCAAGTCTAAGAGAGTTTGGTAGAGACGGGGAGATGATCTAGCATTGAATGCCAATTAATGCCTGCAAAACAATGCTTCTCTGGAGCTTTTTACACTTACAGACTTTATTAGTCACACATCTGCAAATATATTTACAATGTCCACAATTAGCAGTAGCCTGAGGGAGACCACTGTAATTAAAAAAAAACAAAAACCCAACACATTTTCAGAATGATTACTATCTAGGCCAGCAAGCAGGTAATGAGCACAGCTGAGTCTGTGCTAACTTTAGTGCAGCCAAGTTTGTAAAAAATAAACTGTGAATACAAGATGGAGTGCTGGGGAAAAGTTCTCTGGAGATGTTGAGACAATTCTTAGCTGTTGCTTCATAATTTTTGTCCATTAATTCTTGTTTAAGTGTTTAACTTCATGTGGTCAACTTTTTTTTCGTCCATTGAATGTCTATTAATAGTATGTTTGTTTTGTTTACTGAGGGTGCGTTTCTCTTTAGCACCAGCAAAATGGACATAGATTAGTTAGATAGGAACAGTTTGATTTTTAAAGTCCTTGATTTTATGACTTGAAAGTGTTACCTGGTGCCCAGCTACCTTAAGGAAAACTTCAAAAGTAACTAATAGATCAATATCTTGTTCAGCCAGTCACTTGTATGCTGTGGGTTTTGGTCTTCTGAAATCTTTGATAGAATTCAGTACAAAAAGCACATCCCAGGTTTTTACAGGAGATTGTTCAGCTGTGAAGGCACAATTGTAAAGTAAGATTGCATAGAGCTCCAAGTTGTAGAAAATTACAAAAAGGCTACTGAAAACAGAGAGAATAAGGATATGTAGTTGGAATTTGGTATTTTACGACTTCCTTAAGAGAAAAAGTTCAAAGGAACAACTCTGATGTAAAAGATTAAAAAATACAAGAAACAGACGTGATGGAATGAATGCTGTCAAAAGTGCAAGTATTTGCAGTGAATAATTTTGCCCAGTTGGATAACTGTAGAATTTCTTAGCTAATCAGCAAAAGAAACTTCTCTGAATTACTGGTGGGAAACAATTTAAACAATGGGATTATTTCAGTTTTATGTTGCTTTTGAGAAGAAGGGGAAGAAATATGCAAAGTGCATTTGAGATTGTATTGTTCATGAAAGGGCACAGAGGCCTTTCAGACAGGTCCCTCAGCTAGCTGTTCACCTTCCTGGAATCAATACCAAAAAAAAACCCCAAAAAAACAAGAGAGAGAATTTATAGTGCCTTCTGGGCAAACCTCTTGCCAGACAAAGTTTGAATTCTGAGAAGTGCAACATCAAAAAAACAATTATCTATACCTTAAAGTATATATTTGGATGCATGCTCTGTGCCCTTGCAGAATGGATCCACCAAAAGAATTGCATTTTTCAGTTACGTGGGCAGGGGTGTATGTCTTGTAGTTCCTGCTCAGCACATGAGGCTGCAGACAGCTGATGCAGCCCCAAGGAAGCAATAGGAAAAGTAGTCATGAGGCTGTCTTTCCTTCTGGCTTGTCACATAAATACTGCTGATAGGTGTAGAGTAACCCCCCTCCACCGGTCTGTGCCTGCTGATGCATCAGTAAGGACCAGTGCACGAGGAGATGAGATCTAATTCAAATGTAAGTAGTGGTATCACCTAAGACAGGTGCTGTGTTGCAGACCAAATGGTATCCTACTAGCCCCTTTTTGTGCACAGTTAGTTTAACATTCTATGTATATTTTAAAGCAATTGCCTATTCTTTAGATCATTAACAATTTTAAATCTTATGTGACTTCTAAGCCATACTTTTATAGTTTGTGTTTTCTTTGTAGACAGTAATAATCAGTCTTATTTTTTTGTGTTGGTTATTGTCCTACTAGTGGACTGGTAGAGAGGGTTATTATAACTGTTTGAGTTTTCAAGTAATTATGAAAATACTGTTTTCTTAAGTCGCTAGCCTGGTTACACCTGATGGCCACTCTTTAAAGAAAGTTGTTAACATGCCCAGTTTCACTGAAACAAGGTGAATTAGAAAAAAACATGCCACAAGGATAACAAAGCACTGAGTTATTTAAAGTAGGCTCGCGGCTTCATCCTAATATAAATTTTTTTCATCTTTCAGAGTCTGATTTGTCAAATTTGGCCAAGCTATACAGAGATGAGCGGTTAAAACAGAAAGCAGAATCACTGAAACTTGAGCACTGTGAGAAGCTCTCCAGTCTGATTGGAATGCACAAAGGGGGCTGACCAGGGCACACACATTCTGTAGTTTTATTTATTGCTAATTTAACTTATGTTTTTATTTTCCTTTGTATAAAAAGGGAAGGAGACTGTTGTAAAGAGTCTGAATATTGGAGTCCTGCATCTGGTGCAGAGATGGGCCAACACAAGCTGCAGAGCTAGTGTTTGCTATAATACATACTCTACACAATATTTGGTTCTAAGGACCAGTGGCGCTTTGTAAATTAATTCCCTGGGAAACGCTATTAGTTTGGAACCTGTCTTCATCGGTAGTTTGTCTGCCATCCAAACAGTATATACTTCCCAAGAGAGCAGACAAATGTCTTAGCTTTCTGTATTTTATATGGACCTGCAATTCACTCGATCATATGCACAGCGTAGTTCTCAGTATTAAGTGCGCTAGCCTTCTCGTACTGATATCAAGCGGATGTCCTTGCTTCTACAGTGGTTTTGTAATGAGAACTTAGATGGAAGGCGGCATGTTTCCTGTTCGAGTGTAATATGCAATGCTTAATTCAGAAGAGTCAAGTACCTGCTTCAGGTGAGCACTTGAGCAGGCTCCCAGCTCTCCCTGCTGTCAAAGGGACATAACCCCGTGCTTGTCTGACTGGAGGGGGCACGCTGAGATGCCAGCAGCAACATCGAACAAGAAGATCGGAGTCTGTGAATTGCACCAATTCTGATGTCTGCCAAACTGTAGAGAAAGGACAACTGTATTTATTTTCTCATATGTTTTCAGTGGCATATTTTTAAGCTGGCTGTCTAATTCTGATTTTTATCTGCAAACTCTTCTCCAGCTGTTACAGGGGTCCTGCTCTTTCTGGTACAGTTTTGATGTAGCATATTTTTACTCTGTTTAGCAGTTATGAATGTTTCACTGTAGAGATTAGTATTGCAAAGAAAAAGATCCATGTAGTAGTGTCCTGTTTTTTCTTGATCCTCCTTTACGAAACCAGGCATTTAAAGGCAGGTTGAGGATGGGTTATACTCGTCAGCAGCAGAGAACAGTGTTACTCCAGTTGAGCATCATTAATCTCCTGAGCCAGTTTCTCTGGTGGGGTGCCGCGGGTGCGTACCACACGTGGAATGAACTATTCTAAGAAGGACATCTCCGAGCGGTACAGGCACTGGAGGTGCAGGCTTCTGCCCTCCCTCCCTGACGTGGGGACTGAGCGTAGCCACAGCAGAGGCAGCACTCGCCTCTCTGACGTGGAAGTGCGTGTCTATTAAAACTGAACAAGTCTCTGTTGTTGTCCCCGTTCCTAAAACTCGCTACAAGTAGCACAGGATGCCACAGATGGCCTTGGCTTAAACCTAGGAAACAAAAGTGCTCAAAGTTCAAGAAATGCCAGAATTAAAGTCACCTCTAAAGCTTAGACTTCAAGTCTCCACGTGCCTGGGCATTACAGTGCAGTCGTGTGCTAGTGCTCTGCCCATGCGCCGAGGTTGTCCCATTGGCATGGTGCACAAGTTGGCTGGTACTGAAAGCGGGGAACTGGGACCGAAGGTACCAGAAAGTGTCCCCTTGGTGTCCCTGTCCCATCCGTTACAGTGGTGGGAGGTTGGGCAGCAAGCGAAGCTGGGAGCTGCAGGAAGAGAAGCTTTTCTGGTGGTCTGTGCCAGAGGAGGGGTTTTGAGACTTGGTGCTTCTGCAGATGAGACGTACACACCCCATATATGATCAGACCATTGTAACTACAGCAATATTGGTGCTATGAAATGGTGGTGTGTTAAAGAAAAAATAAAAAGAACAACATAGTGGCTCCTTAAAACAGTGTTTTCATATTAACATTTGTTCCCTCTTGGGAAACTTTGTAGGAGTGCTTGGGGAAGTTGAGCAGAGTTTGTCAGCCACTCGGGACAGGATGAGTGCCAGTGAAAAAGGCATTTAGAGGGGGTTGTTGTGAACCATCTTGAGTGCAAGACTCTGCAAGGGCAAAAATGTTTGATTTTTTTAGATTGGTAATGTGGCTGGCAGTGGGACAGGCAGCTTTAATTCTGGTATTTCCCAGGTTTGAGCACATAATATGAGTGCATACAAAAAGAAAAATTCTTTTAATGTTGCTTTTTATATATTAAATAGTTTGTAGAATATATTTGAAATCTATTAAAGTGGCTGGACTTTGTTCCATGTTTGATATCTTCCCTGTCATTCCTGTTTGACTCCCATGGCTATAAAGTGATACAGGTGGGGAGACCAAACACGACAACTTTACTGGACCTGTGATGTCCTGTACGGAGCTTGAATTCATACGTAGTATTTTGCACTTAAAATGGATTGCACCTTTCATCCAAAGATCTCAGAGTGCTTTATGGAGGTGGGAGGTCTCCTGTGAGAAGCACAATGATTTTAAGTCTTCTCTGCAACTAGGAAAAGAGGCCAGGATGAAGCAGAAGGTCAAACTGGAAGGTAAAAATATTTCAAAAAGCAATAAGATGTTCTTTGTTTGTAATCAGAGTCAAGGGTGTTACGGATGACTATTTGCATGCCAGTGTTGTAGGCTGTGAATAAGGGCATTTGGCTCCACAATGTCTTCGGTGACCGGCTCGAGAACTTCCTTTTGTAAAGCGCTGGCATCCTACTCAAAAGGAAAATCGTTATCTCGTGCCCGTGGCTATTCAAACGCATTGCTGTCACTAACCAAAGGTTACTTGCCATTGACTTCTGATAATTTCTTGGGTCTCTAAAGGGAGAAAAAGGTGTTCCCTGAGCAGGCCTGTTCGCTTGGAGCAGTGCAGTGGGATGCTCTTGTTTCTTGGGGAATACCTGGGACTTGCAAATGGGTTTATATATATATATATTGGGTTTTTTTAACGAAAGACTTGACATTTCTGTGCCTGTCTGTACCGTGGTAAAAGCCTGACTTTGAAACGAGAGAATGGTGCTGTCTGGGAGTTTGTTCCACGCGAAATGGCGGCAGCGGCCGCGGGGATGGGCGAGGAACTGACTGCTGCCCCTGCGGCCACAGCCTGCCCCAGGCGGCGGCGAGCCCGGGAGAGCCGCGGGTATTCCCTGGGGCCTCGGTGGAGGCCGAGCCCTTCCCCGGCTTGCGGAGCCGCGG